AAAAAAAAAAAAAATTTTTTTTTAAAAAAATTTTTTTTTTTTTTTTTTTTTTTTTTTTTTTACAAGAGTGAAGAAACAAACAAAAGAAAAAAAAATAAAGAAAAATATAGAGACTATGATCTAGCAAAAATTGTTCATCTCGCATCAGCTAGGAGAGGCAAGACGGGTCACGCAAGAACCACATAAATGAATTGAAGTTGGTTCTCCATGGAAGTAGCAAACTTAGCAAAAGTATATGCACAAAAATTGCTTTCCTGCAATGTATGATGCATGGTGCAATCTCACTCTAGCCAGTGGTTTCTTTGTCAGAATGAGTTCATTAGCACAGTGATGATGAATCTTAGTCTCTGTTTGCAACAACTCCACCAAAAACAAGAGTCAAAATAATAGTTCACTCTTCTGAAACCTTCCTTCCAGCAAAACTCCAACCCATATAGGAGAGCAAGAATTTCTGCGAGGAGGATTGGAAGTACTGGCCACCATATCCATATAAATTGAATAAGAAGGACCCATAGTGATTCGACAAATGCCACCAAAACAAGCACAATTCAAATTTGCAAGGAGGCTACCATAAAAATTACATATTATGAATATAAATTAACTCTTGATTGCAGCTCCGAGATTCTGTGTAAATCATATCTGGCAAAAAAAAATTTGAGTATGTAACATTCTATTTTCTAAAATAATATTATTATTAAAATATTATTACATTATGGTCATAATTATTATTTATTTTTACACGTGAAAAATTATTTTATCACATTAATTTATTTAATTTAATGGGATAAGGGGAAATGGGCTGCACTAATATGATTTAGTGAATTTTTAGGAGAAGGGTTAGACAGAATTATCCTAACCTATCTCATTTGGCATTTTCGGGAAGGATTGAGAAGGAGAAGGAGGAGAAGAAAAGAGCTATAAGGAGAGGTACTCAGATGTCTCAAACTGTGACAAAATTGTTCAGATCATCCCCATAAGATACGGGGAGGGAAATAAGTTAATTCATGTGTAGGTTTACAAGAGAGGATGGGTAGCGGGAGCAATTCCTAGATTTCTAAGATTTCCCAATTTCTGTTCTGACGTTGTAATTGACGATTCAATTAGGCTTTGTGTTGGTTTACGATTGTGTTACTTGTATTGTTTGTTAAAATTGATGATCTAAATGATAACTAAATTCACTGTAATATCTTTATAGGTTAAGATTTTTGAGTGATCTAATTATTGTTAATTGGTATGTAAATTCCTGAATTAAGACTATATAATGTGTTTTTGGGTAAAAAATGTGTTTCTGACCGATTGGAATGATAAAAGGATGTTTGTATTTTTGATTATGAATGTTGGTGATGGTCTGTTCACGCTGTGTTTCTAGAAAATGCATTGAGCACCAGGCTTGAGTCCTTGGTATCAGGCTTGCATTCACACTGATGAATGTGAAGCCCATATAGGGTTACGTCGGGCGTGAGACGTATCACACCAGGCGTGAAAATGTTGTGTGCTCTTTATGGTTCATTAGCGTCGGGCGTAATTATAATTAAGTTAGGTGTGAAAGTGTTGTGTGCTCTTTGTGGTTCATTAGTGTCGGACATAATTATAATTAGGCTGAGTGTGAAAATGTTACGTGCTCTCTATTATGGCCTAGAGTCGGGTGCGCCCTGGTGAAGCCCCATATTCTTCTGAGAGTCATAATTTGAGTAAAGATTATTTGTGAAACACCTGTAAATAAACACGATTTCTCCTTTGCTTACTTTGTTTTTCTTTCCTTGTGATGTTTAATTTGAGCAAGAGTGGGATTATTAGGCAATGGAGGCACTTGATAATCCTTCTCGACAACATCCCATAGATCTAAAGCCTATAAGTAGAACTCCATCTTCATTTCCCAAAATTCATAGCTCTCTCCATCAAAGATAGGAGGAGCAACATGTAAAAAGCCAAATTCAATTTCTTTTTTTCTTTTATAGATCCCGTAAGACAATAGCTTTGATACCAATTTGTTGGTTTTATGATAAAAAAGAAAAAAAAATATAGAACCTATAATACTCGAAAGAATTTGAATGAACATAGTACTTTTATATATCAGCAACAACAGAACATTTATAATAATTCAGTTGGAACAAAAAAAAATTAACGTTATCGAGATTTTAGCAATCTCAATCGACTATTTGCTGCTTAAGTATAGGAACCACTTATTACGCAATTCAAATGTTAAAACCGAAACATTAAAAGATTAAAAAAAAAAGAAGAAGAAAGAAATGACCACATAATGCATGCTAAAAGCAAATAATTAATATAATCAATATAAAAAAATCTAGATAATCACCTTTATTAGAATCTTCCTTTCTAATAATGTTTTTTTTTTCTTATATAAGACTCTATCTTAAAATTTTGCTTAAGAAACTTAAATTGAATATCACTCTATCTATTGGTTTGACAGTTGGTATTTTGACATTATATTTATTAGTTATAGGAGTCCCTCCTATATATATATATGAGGGGTTATAATTATACTGGTGTGACACTTACCAAGTGTTACACTACTCAATAACTTTATATTAAATGTGAATTTTGTAAATTCAACCGTTAGATTGAAAGTTGATATCACTTTATATATGTATATCAAATTTTGTTAAAATTGAAAAACAATTTGAAGGTGATCAAAGTGTTCATATTTTAGTATATTTTGAAATGAATATATTATGTCAATTTTGTTTTATAAAAATGAAGTATCAAATCATCTTGGATTAATATAAAATTTAGTATATATGATATAAGAGATATGAACTTTCAATCTAACGGTTAGATTTACAAAATTCACATTTAATATAAAGTTATTAAGCGGTGTAATACTTAATAAAAATTATATCGGTGTAATTATAACCCCTATATATATATATATGTGTAAATAAATAAAAATGAACACGCGCCGTTATCTTTATCCTTTCCATTCTTGTTCTTGAATCTTGATGGTTTGCGGGTTTTGCGCCAATATTACGCATTAATTTGAGATTGTAGCGAAAGTGCATTTCACTATCACTATCAAGAGAGTCAATGTGCGCGTGAGAATGTGTGCAATAACATCTCAGTGAAAATCATTAATCAACCAAACACAAATGAATATGCTAATAGGCCACCAAGTTATGATGATAATTTTTGGTTTGTTGAAATTCCTTATTTATACCAATAACTTGTTCCTATAATGGAATTTACTCATACAAAACTTACATCAACTTTACACATAAACCTAGTGGGAAAGTTCAAGTCTATTTCTAAAAAAATAGTTCAAATGAATCAATTTCTATCTATATTAAAATAATATTTAATTAATAAAATCATATTTTATGAATATAAATTAATCTTTAATTATCAGAATATTAAAAATCACATCCCTGAAAAGAAAATCCAATTTTGATAATTTACTTGCACTTTTAATATACCATGTGACCTCAGTAATAAACATTTTTATGCGACCTTCAATCGATGGGGAGTGAGATTTGGTGTAAGCCTAAGGTCTACCTTCTAACCTATAGAAGTCATAGGTTGAAAACAACAACCCCTAGCATGTGGCCTGACCAAATCAGCCACTAGAAAAGAAAAGTAGCTGCACAAGTCCCCTCATTTCATTGACACACCAAATCATGCTTGTTTCAAGGAATTAGTAGCCCAAATTTATGGAACAGGACTTGGCCATTGCATAGTTTAAACACTCTTCATTGACTTTGATCGAAGGGAAAAGGGCGAATAAAAGCAGAGTTCAATTGCCAAATCTTGAGGGTGGCCTTAATGTTTATGCCAGTTGCATTGTTGAATAGAAATAATCTTGCAGCTCCATATATTGCTTCCGTTGGGTAAACCCTACTTGAGATCACAGTTCTCCCTTCCTGAGCAAAGCTCTCAATAATTGAATGGTCAACCTAGTCAAATTGGAAAGTTAATAGTCACACACACAAAAAAAAAAAAAAAACTATATACTAATGAGAAAATGGGTAATGCATCAAAGATGTAAAAAGTCATTTCAAACATTGAATTATAATTGGTTCACAATGTAAAATTTTACCGAGTCAAAAGTCAATACTAATTGACTAAATTAGTATGCATCTCCTAATGTAGAAACTGAATTTAGTGAGAAAATAAAAATAAAAGCTAATTAAAATAAGTAATGACCCTATCTATATATACTTAAGTGAGTAAGAAGTAGAGAAGTATGAAATATTTTATCCACATTTACCAAAACTCTCATTGATAGTTTTTCATCACTAAGGACTGGAACTTTGCTCCCATAAATTGGCTTTGCAACATCAGGAGCCTTGGATGATCTGCATCATGTCCAATAACTCATCGACCATGACCACATTTCTTCTTCAAAAAAGGAAGAAAATAAAATTAGAATTGCCACATGAAAATTCCTACCTCGTTTCATCAACACAGAAGAAAGTGGTTGAAGTAGCAAAGGTGGTATTAGAAAGGCGAAAATAAATTGGGGTTTGTTCAGAAAGTGTGTCATCTGCAATAGCTAGAAGACCAAATGGTCCAAAACCACTTCTATCTGTGGCACCACTCCTTCCACAACCTATGTTGTTCTTCTCGATCCCTTTGGATGCCAATGATTCAATCTCAAATTCAGCAAATATGTCCAGCTGTGAATAATTTTGAAAAATGAAAAGAGTTTTTGAATTATTCTTTTAGTACCATAGTTTTGAGCAACAATAATGCAACAAAAGTATGTCATAATTTAGATTCTAATTGGATACAAGTTTAAAAGTGTTTTTGAGAAAATCTTTCCTAAAAATAAATAACTATTTTAAAGTAGAGAAATTCTCATATTTGCTTCTAATTTATATCTAAACATGTTATAATTCTAAAGACAAATTAACCTGTGTTGCTAGAGTTATGTTGAGTGGCACAACAGAGCCAGGCTTAACCACCACTCCTTCAAATTCATCACTGCTTAGTCTTAAGGTTTCTACTTCCTCAACTGGCCACAGAAGCAAATTACTCCCAGTCTTGTTGTCAAACAGCACTGTTCTCGGAATTGTCTAATAGAACAAAAACATGTCGGCTAGAGTTAATTAAATTCACATAAAATCATCGATTAATAGTCTCTCACACGTGTAGAAATTAATAGCAAACCTTCTTTCTGCCAAACATTTTTCCATGTGAATTTCAGACTCAACAAATAATTAGTGTTTTGTATCGATCATTTTCTTTTACATTTTTCATTCTAGTTTGTATCACCTAAAATATAGTTTGTGATATATAATAAAAAAGGTTAACTTGCACTTATTTTTTAATGGGTTAGTTTTGAGAGGAAGAAAGTTTAAAATATTTTAAGTAAATTAATTTGGGAAATTTTTAGTAAAAGGGTAAAATACCATTTGATTCTTTGGAAGTGTATATCACTCACATTTACTCCTTAAAATATAAAAATACAAAAAGAATTCTTGAAATTGTAAGAATAAATGGTTATTTTTAGAAACTTAAATGAAACAATTAGAATTTTCAAGAACTTATTTATAATTTTTTTTTTTTTTTTACTTTCAATGACTAAAATGCTAACAATATACATTTTTAGAGGGATTTAATTGGTGTTTTACTCAAAAATAAGAATAATCGATCACACATATACTTCATATCAAAATAATCTATTTTTCGTAAAAATACCAAACATATATGACAAACCAAATTTATTTATTTAATTATTTTTTCAAAAAAAAAATAGGCATATACTAAAAAAAATAATTATTATAAAATTTTTCAAATTTACTACACATAAAAATTTATGATTCAATTACGATATAAAAAAACTTTAATATTATTGATACATGATTATTTAGAAAAATTTATATATACAATTTATAACACTTTTTCTAACACTTTCTTTATTATTAATTGAAATTTAATAAAAATTACAAAGTTTGTAACTCACATATCTCATTTAATATATGTATCCTGATTTAGTGGTATGGGATAGTAAAAGTTGTGGTTTTTAGCAAGAAAGTATTACTAATATTTTTCCTTGTTTATTCTTTTAATATAAAAAAATTGAAACTTGATTAGCTCGTGCGACACTATGTTAGGAAACCAAAATCACATGATCCAAATTAAAGAACAAAAATTTGAATTAAGCCTAATAAAGATCCATACCATAAGAGAAGCCCAACCCTTTCTCAAGTCAGCACTTTCTGTATCCGTTTCATTGATCCAACCCCACAAAATCCTTCTCTCTTTCACTTCATCATAGAAACTCTTTGAAGCATAGTATCTCCCATAGTCCAAACGCAACCCAATACCCACATCCTCATTCGGGTTATCGGGTACCCATGTATCATTCTCAACTAAATACTTTCCAATTGCATAATTATCCACCCTTGTGTCATCCATACTAGCCTTCAACACATGCTTAACATTTCCCCCATTAAAAGATGTATCCAAACCCTTCGACCCGTTTATCGATACCGGGTAAAAGTCCACACACTCCCACATACCCGTACCCGGGACCGCATGCAAGTAGTGATCATTGGGCTCAAACTCAATAAAATCCGTGGTTTTGTAAACCAATGAGAGGCCCATTTTCCCTTTCTTTGACCCAATTGCAACCCTCCATTTTCGGTCTGGCCCGATCCAAGCTGTGGTCGGGTCGCGGAAATTCTTCGGGCCAATGCCGGGCGGGGGTAGTAGGATCGGGTTACCCGTATACTTGACCCAATCAAGGAGAAGGGGATCGGATAGATTGGTGGGGTATGCTAGATTTTGCACTTGCACGTAGTCATTGGTGTCACCTATATTGAAGATTAGAATATGATAAGAGGAAAACGAAATTGATGTTTCATGAATTGACTATTGAAAAAATGAATCAAAGAAAAAAAAACAAAATTATACTAATTAATTAAATAAAAAAACAAAAACTAATGATATAATATATAAAGGGAATAAGTTTTAGTAATTATTATTATTTTTTTTACTTTTGTATTAAACATTATTACTTTTAGATTAACAAAAAAAAATAAAAAACATTTTTAAAAATAAATATATAAAGGTACGAAATGTGTCTTTCATTATTAGTAATGATAAATAAGCTTGATATGTAAGTGTTGAGTTGGAATAACCTGTATAAAGCATGATGATTTTGCCATCTGGCAGAAGTGTGGCGGAGCCTGTCCATACACCGTTGATGTCGTACCACGTGTCGGGTTCCATGGCAATGGGAAGGTAGAGCCAGTGAATCATGTCCCTTGATACAGCATGACCCCATGAAATGTTGCCCCACACGGCTGAATCAGGATTGTATTGATAAAATAGATGGTACCACCCCATGTGAAACAATGGACCTGCATGCATGGGATACAATCCCGGTTTCATGTCAACTTTTAAAATTTTCTTCAATTTTTTTGAAGGACTGAAAATATATTTAAAACATTTAAAAAAATTAAGAGACATAATAAAGAGAAATACATTTAGTTAAATTAAAATATCATATTTTCATAATTATAAAATAACAATGAAATAATTAATATGATGTTTGTGATATTATTAGATTAAAATTGAAGTTTAAATCAACTCCTATATATTATTAAGAACAAATGACTATCTTACACGAAAACATTTTTAAGAATTATTTTTCGACAATAATGTTTGTAGGAGCTTTTTAAATTTTTATTTAATTCATTTTATTTATTTATTTATTATATTTATTTATGAATTAAATTAATATTTATATATTAAACATTAACAATTATTTTGTGTGAGAACATTATTTGAGACTATTCTTCGATATAGAAATTATTTTAACTTTTTATTTAATTTATCATTATCATATATTATTTATGAATTAAATTTTAATATTTTAAAATAAATTATCAATAATTAAAAATAATCTTGTGACGCAATATAAATTATTTATTTTAAGTATAAAATATAATTTATATGTTTAAAATATCTATTTATATAAATTTGAAATATAATTTATATATTTAAATATAATATTTATTTATATATTTAATTTATTACGAAATATAATCTAGGCCTTTTGGTTAAGATCAAGTGTAGAAATATTTAGTATGAAAATAATATTTTGAACTATAAAACAATGCCACAAACAGTTAATATATGAATGATTTTTTTTTTCTTGTAACCAAGTAATATTCTTGAAGACTATTGTACCCATAATTTTGAATAGACGTTGGGCCGAAAACAACTTGTCAGTCAATGGCACATTGCTTAGGTGGGTTACGAATAGAAATTTAATTTATGGGATCTGGGCCCAATTGTCTCCTTTAACCTAAAAAATAATGTCTAGTGGTTACTTTGTTTGGTTTATGAGAAAACTAAAAGAATGATACACTCTTTTTTTTTTTTTTTTTACTTAAATTTCAATATTTCGTGAATTTTGTCACTTAAAATTTCTTTCATTTTGATATCCTATTTATTTATTGACTAATATCCGTAGTTGATAAGATAAGACACATTAATTGTTATATGATATTTTGATTTCAATTATGTTATTGTAAAATTTAAATTTTTTTTGGAGTTAATTCATTTGATCAAACAGGTTTATTTGATGTTTCATTCTTATATTACTAGAATTATGTTTATTTATGTTTTAAAATCCAACATTATAAGGGTACAAACTTAAATTGCTTTTTTAATTATTTTTTTTATCTTTTTATAAACTAAATAAGAAAAAAGTTATTTTTCAATTCCTTCTTTATTCTCAAGAAGACAAAATTCTTAATTTCTACTTTTCCCTCATATCTTTTAAACCAAATATTCTTTTATATAAGACAAACTTTTCTTATGAAATAAACATATTTTGAATCTTATCATACAATTTTTTTATTAGTTAGAATAACAATGACGACGACATTGTTTAAACTTAAAACTTTGTAAATGTTACTAGTCTCATGTCAAGAAATAATGAAGTCTTAGACAAATTTTAGGTTTGAATTTTACTTTGATATAATTTATTTATTTACATTTTATTCTTGTAACCTTTTAAACTGTAAAATTATTTATATAAATTTTGATAAATTAAGTTATTTCACAATATCACTATATAATTATTTATTCAATCATTATAATTTTAAAAAATTACTTTAATTATAACAGAAATTATAACTATTATTAATAATATATTTTATAAGACAGAATTAAAAAAGAAATAATTTTATATTATAGTTTAACAATTTTTAAATTTTGTAATACCGTCGATTTAGAAAAAAAATAAAGATCACTAATATGAAATTAATACTCATTAAAACTTAAATATATTTCAAAATTAATACAATTTTTCTTAATTACTTCTTTCAAATAATTTTTTAAAAACAATTTTATATTTGTGGACAAAAAAACTCTGATATATATACAAAATAATCAAAAATTAAAAAGAATTAATTTTTAATTAAACGTGTAATATTGTCGCTGTCATTTTTATTAAAATATTTATTTTGTGGTCCATACTATTCTGATAAAATTTAATCTATATATTTATTTGAATGTATTTTTTGTTTTAATTCTTAAAAAAGCATATACTAATTTTTCTTATCATATTTTAAATAAGTAATAAATTTTTTCAAATGAACTATAATAATGAAATATACACATATACATATTTTTAATTTATAAAAAAATTACTAATAAATTAATTATATTTAATATAATAAAATTATTATTTAAGAAATTAAATTAAAAATAATTTTAAATATATGTAAAAATAATTTGATTGCGACAATCATGATTGTGTATATTACTCCAATTCTAATAGACCAATCTTAATGGTTGTTTTTAGTGTACATATCCATTTTAATGAATAGGTCATATATATCATTTTCAATAATATTAATGGTTTTGTCTTTTGAGAAAATGTCACTATGACTTAGAAGGTAATTTGAATATATTTTTGGTAGGAGGATTTTTTTTTCCTTTTTGGGTAATCTGTTAACTCGGATAATGACAAATTCAATTTTTTTTGTTTTGTTTTTATTACTAAAAAGGTTCAAATTTGATACTATGTATATAATACTTCTATTAAAATAATAATAACAATGTCTTAAAAACATAATGTCACCTGCTTGTAAAATAAGTAGATATTACATACTCACATATATAGGAATATGATAATAATAAAACAAATAAATAAATAATGAAAATAAAATTAATGTTAGAAATTATTAATTAATTGATTTTTTTATTACTTGTTTTATAAAAAGAAGGTCAAATCCAATCATCAAATATGATTTTTTTGGATAAAAAATATTATTTGAGTTCCTAATATTATTTTAAACTACTTTTTATAATTAACTTTCTTTATTTTTGTGAGACCCCTTTTCCTTCCTTTTCTTTTTTCCTGGACACTCTTCTCACTCAACTCTCATTTTCTTCACACTCATTTTGCTGACCCACTTTCTTACTCAACCCTCACTCTCGATTTCTGGCTTTTGGATTCAAATTCTCTGGGTGTGTAGGGGCTGATCAAGTTGAGGAGAGCTAGCTGAATCGTGTGAAACCCTATTCTTCCTCAAGCTCTTCCTTCTTCATTTCTTCTTCTTCGTTCAAGTTCCCGGAAGCTCGGAATCTTGCCCGAGGTAAGGGAAGTTAGTTTTCTTGCTGCGTTTTGGTTGAAATGGGTTTGAGAACTCATTGGGTTGTTAAAGATTGTCGGATTCTTGGCTGATTTGGGGGAAATATTGAGTTTTGAGGATTTTGGGGTTTTGAGAAAATTCTTGGTTTTTATTTGATTTGTGGATGCATGTATGAAAAAATGTCGTTTTCGAACTCTTGGATGGAAATGTGATACTTTGGCTGGATTGCATGTACTTGAAAGTGATTTTTACAGGTGTTTGGGAAAATTTTCGAACTGGGTAGGGTGGCAGATGAGTTTCGCGCTGAGCGCTGTTCATCCCGCTGAGCGCGTGACCGCCAGGGGACCTCATTTAGTCGAGCTCGCTGAGCGCCTTGATGAGTGCGCTGGGCGTGCTTGAGAATGTGGGTCTCTGGTTGGCCCTCGCTGGGCGTGACTTGGACTGCGCTAAGCGCGATACCGTTGTAACTTGCTGTTAGGCTCTAGAGGCTGCACTAAGCGCGACCCTTGTCGCGCTGGGCGTGAGACTCTTTGGGAGTCTCTGCCTCGTGGGCGCTGGGCGCAAGTCCAAATTGCGCTGGGCGCGAGACCAAGGGGTGGTCTCTGCCTTTCCCGTGCTGAGCGCTGGGTTAGATGCGCTGGGCGCGTGAGACTCCTTGGAGTCTCTATCTGGCCTGCGCTGGGCGCAGTTAGTATCGCGCCAAGCGCGAGAGAGCCTTGTGCTATCTGGCTGAGTCCCGCTGAGCGCGAGCTTGCTTGCGCTGGGCGCGCTAGCCCCCTGAGGCTCTCTGGTTGTACTGCGCTGGGCTCAATTCGCGCTCATCTATTTTTCTCCTTCGTTTTCATATTTTTGATGACTCCGTGTGCTCTTCTTATGATTGGAGACGATATATGATATTTCTCGTTGTGAATAGTGGTCTTCAGACGCATTTCAATATACTTTGTCTACATCTGGAAATTTGAGTCTCCGTCTAAGAGATAGACTTTGACTTTTCCTTTCGTCTGGTCAGCAATGCAGATGGAAGACTTTTAATTTCATCTAGGATGCTTCATCTTAGATTATCCATTGTTTGATATTGTGAACTTCGTCTATTTGACCACTAGGCTTCAGCTTGGTCTTGTTCTTGACTTAGCCTTATTTTGCCCTTTCGTCTGATACTTCAAAACTTCATCTGCTGGTACACTCTGACTTGTTTCAGGCTTTTGTCAGGCTTAGTTTGTTTTGACCATAGTATATGTAATGACATATACTTCGTTTTTCAGTCATGTTCTTATATTTATCTGAAACACTAACACACATGTTAGAAATAACAATATGTATTATATTTGTCATGTTCAAAATCTTGTCGGAAATTTCTTCGTCTGACTTAACAACTCTTATTTGGCCTTCAGACAATAGTTGACAGTTGACAATCATTTTACTAGTGCTACATGTATATAGTTTATGAGTGTTCTTGTCCATTGCAATGCCATAACATCATAATTGTATTGACTATGAATTGTGAATGTGATATATGTTGAACAACGTGCTATTGAATGGTGTTAATAATTACTGATATTAATTGGTAAATGTATATCTATTGTTTATTTTTGTGTATGGCTATCGAATCATAGCTACACCAGTAGTTAGAATGAGATGTTTCTCACCTTTTTTTGTTGTTGTTTGTTTTGGTGTATGGTTGTAGGTGAGACCTATTATGAGAATGACGTGATTGAAGGCAAGGTTTAAACCTTGTGTTGGGAATACTCTAA